AAAATGAGTAAAAAGCATTCAAAAATAAGGTTTATGATGAAAAATGTCAAAATAAAGTAAGTAAACATGCATGCAAAAGTAAAAATAAGCAATGATACGTGCAAACAAAGTAAGTAAAAGGCATCCAAAAATAAAGTAAGCAATAAAATATGCAAAAATAAAGTAAGCAAAGAATATTCAAAAATGAAGTAAATAATAAAACAAGTAGAAACAAAGTGAATAAATGCATGCAAAGAAAAATAGGCAATAAAATATTTGCAAACAAAGTGAATGAAAAGCATGCTTGGTGATGATTCATGCAAATGAAAAGTGAGTTAAAAAAGAAAAATAAAAAAAAATACAAAGGTATATTTAAAAATATATTTAAAAATGAAGCCTGTAATAAAATATGCAAAGATAAAGTAAATGAACGACATGTGAAAATAAAATAACCAATGATGTGTGCAAACAAATTAGGTAAAAGGGATGCAAAAATAAAGTAATAAAATATGTAAAAATAAAGCAAGTAAAAGGCATGCCAAAATAAAGTAAATAATAAAATATGTAAAAATGAAGTAAATGAAGGGCATGCAAAAATAAAGTTTACAATAATAAAAAAAATGAAGTATATAGCAATAGTTTATATCAATACAACGGATGAAAATAAAGGATATGCAAAATAAAGTAGGTAATAGAATATGTACAAAAAAAAGTAAATAAACGACATGCAAAAATAAATAATGATTTGTATGAATAAAGTAAATAAAATAACATGCGAAATAAAGTTGGTAATAATATGTGCACAGGGGTAGTAAGAGGCATGCAAAATTAAAGTACGTAATAAAATATGTACGAATAAGGTAAATAAAAAATATTCAAAAATGAAATAATAAAACAAGTGGAAACAAGGTGGATAAAAGCATGCAAAAAAAAGTAGGCAATAAAATATTTGCAAACAAATCGAATGAAAAGCATGCAAAAATAAACTTGGTAATGATTCATGTAAAAGGAAAGTGAGTAAAAAGCATAAAAATAAAGCTTATAATAAAATATGTAAAGATAAAGCAAGTGAACGATATGCAAAAATAAAACAAGCAATGATGTGTGCAAGCAAATTAGGTAAAAGGCATGCGAAAATAAAGTTGATAATAACAGATGTGGAAGGAAAATGAGTAAAAAGCCTTCAAAAATGAAGTTTATGATGAAAAATGTCAAAATAAAGTAAGTAAACGCATGCAAAAATATAGTAACTAATAAAATGTGTAAAAATAAAGTAAGTAAAAGGCGTGCAAAAATAAAGTTGTTGGCAAAATATGAACAAATAAAGTAAATGAAAGGCATGCAAAAATAAAATAAACATGATAAGCACAAATAAAAGAGATAAAAGGCATGCAAAAATAAACTTGGTGATGATTCATGCAAAAGAAAAGTGAGTAAAAAAAATAAAGAAAAAACAAAAAAATGTAAAGATATATTTAAAAATAAAGCTTATAATAAAATATGTAAAGATAAAGTAAGTGAACGACATGCAAAAAAAACAAGCAATGATGTGCGCAAACAAATTAGGTAAAAGGCATGCAAAAATAAAGTAAGTAATATATGCAAAAATAATGTAAGTAAAAGGCATGCAGTAAGTAAGTAGTAAAGTATGCGAAACAATGTAAAAAGCATGCAAAATTAAAGTAATAAAACATGTACAAATATAGTAAGTAAAAAACATGAGGAAATAATGTACATAATGAAATGTTGCAAAAAAAAAGTGAGTAAAAGGCATGCAAAATGTAAACTAAGTAAAAGGCGCAAAGTGAAGACTATAGAAAAAATACATAACTGAATTAAGAAAAGTAGTAGTTCTTTCGAAAAGGGAAATGAAATGCAAGGAAATCTAAAGTGAAGATGTGCAAACAGAAAGCGCAAGATACAAATCCCAATGAAACTATTGAAAGTAAGTAAAAGGAAAAAAAAGCAAAAATCATGGCAAAGAAAAAATTGAGCAAAATTCAAAATATTTAGTCGTTCAATCGTTCGGAGATGCAAAAAAAAATTAACTCTAGGGAAATTGACAAAAAAATACAAAAATTGAAAAAAAATTCCAAGAACCCAATTAAAAAATTTAAGATCCTAAAAACTTCATACACCCGAAAAAACCTGAAATGTTGACAGGACAAGTAAACCAAATAGCACCCAAAAATTAGCAAGCAAAACGGTACATTTATGAAGCTCTCAAAAAAAAATAAAATAAAAATAAAATAAAAATAAAAAAGTGCACTGAAATTAGGAAAAGATACAGTGAAATAAAGAATCCATAAACATCTTTGCAAATCACTCCAACAGATAGGAAAATCGAGAAATTGTGAAAATTTGATAATTTGAAAGTTTCTGAAATTTCGTAATTCGAAACTTGAAAAAAGCTTAAAGCAAATTCAAGAGCATAAAAAGCAAAAATTCGATAAGTCAAAAAAAGGTCCTGAGCATTTCAAAAGTTCGAAACATCCGACAAAACTCAAAATTAAAATGAAATTTTCATTCCCGAAAATTCAAAAAAAAGGTGAAAATTGAGGAAATTCAAAAAATATCCATTATTCAAATATTCAAAAAAAATTTAAAAAAATAGGTACTCAAAAAAAGGTAGAAAAATGAGGAAATTACAAAAAAAAAAT